GGCCGGGGGCGCGGCGGCGGCGGCGGCGGCGGTGCGGACGGCGGGCGAGCGGGGGAAGATGGCGGAGCTGGGCAAGAAGTACTGCGTGTACTGCCTGGCCGAGGTGAGCCCGCTGCGCTTCCGCTGCACCGAGTGCCAGGACATCGAGCTGTGCCCCGAGTGCTTCTCGGCCGGCGCCGAGATCGGTCACCACAGACGCTACCATGGCTACCAGCTGGTGGACGGCGGGCGTTTCACGCTCTGGGGACCTGAGGCCGAGGGCGGCTGGACCAGCCGCGAGGAGCAGCTGCTACTGGACGCCATCGAGCAGTTTGGCTTCGGGAATTGGGTGAGCGCAGCTGAGCCTTCCACCTGGGCTGTGGGGAGCGGTGCTGCGGGGCCGGGCGGCGGGGCGGGCGCCCAGGTGCAGGTGCGTGCAGGCGGGTACGCTCCGGCCTCCTCGAGCCTGGGCAGGGACAGGGACTGGGCTTGGTGGAGCCCAGGGCGAGACGGCAGGTCCTTGCCGCGGCCACCAGGCTCCCGGGAGCCTCCTCTGTACCCGGGGCTCTGGGTGTCTTGGGGTGGCTGTAGGAGCCCTGCCCCAGGTTCCCTGCGCTGGCCGCAGCATCCAGAACACGGTGTGCTGAGTGACCAGCATGTAGCGCACAAAGACTTTTGCTCAAGGAGGCGTAGGTCCTGGGTTCTCTCTGTGTCAGAAGGTGTCCGTAGGGACAGTGGGCTGGGAGAAAAGACAGACCCGACTGGAGTCGTTTCCACCGGCCAGGTAGTGTGCCAGTCCCTCTCTGGGAGAGAGACAAGCAGGTGGCTTCTCCTGGGGTCTCCAAAGAGCTATTTTTCTGTTTTTCATCTGTATTGTGCTCGCCATAACCATCAAGGGCACCTGCCCATCTGCAGACCTTCTGATTTGCAGAGAAGTGGGGCTAGATCTTTCTTCTGTTGTTTCCCCAGGCACAGCGAGATCCAGGGTTGTCACCTGCTGCCACTTCTCCAGCGGTGCTTCTCCCTCCTCTACTTGGGCTGCTTTACTTTCTTTTGCTTTATTTTTCATAGAGAGCATTCTTGGGGAACCACTCTGTAGGCAGAGCTTTATTTTCCCAACTGCTTAGGGCAGATGCAGTGCTACAAGTTGTCACCTAATCTGTAACATTGTGATCACCAGCCTGCAGAAGCCACTTCCTTGCCTTGTCTGCCAGTGCTGCTTGTTGATGCATGTCAGGCATCTGCCTTGTGCAGATCAGAAAAAGGTGAAGGGCTCTGAAGGAGAGAGGCGCTCATCCTGCCTTCTGGGAGCTTCAGGTGTTCTGTGTGTGCACACGCTCCTGCCCTCCGTGTCAAGCTGCCTTATGCGTGCGTCAGTGCAGTGGCAGCCCTCTCCACAGGATGTGCAGGATCCAGCCACTGCCTGCGAGCTTAGTGCAAGCGGGCGGTGACTGTGCTAGGTCACTTGTGATGGTTCTTCCTGCTTCATTTCTGTTTCCTACAACCCATAATCACAGCGATTCTTTGAAACATACATTGAGGGCTGGGGAGATAGCTCAGTGGGGTTAAGTGCCTGCCTGGCAAGTGCAAGGTTCTCAGTTCAATCCCTGGTACCAAAACAAAAACAAAACACCCAACAACATATGTTGCTTCTTGTGGGCCCTTGGTGGCCTCCGAGTCTACTTGGGTTCATGTTGGCCCCTGCAAGGCTTTTGTTTCATCTTTCATTCCTTCTGCCTGGAATCCTCTTCTCCCCCAGGTGTGGCTTGTGACTGATCTCTCTGACATCAGTAGTCTAACTTCCCTTCCTCATCTGGTCCTTTTAGGCTTAACTCCACAGTAGCTGTAGAGTGGAGGAATCCGAGCTCATCACTGAGTTGAGTTGTGTCTCTGCCTGTTGACATCTTCCCAGCAGCCCCAGGCAGGGGGTTTGGGTGGACTGGTTTGGCTGGTCCCCCCCCACCATAGCACATTATCTGCACTGCTTCACTGCCATGGTGTGGAAAGTACACAGAACCCAACACTGGGACCTAAAATGTGCAGGGTGTCTAGCGAGAACCTAGGCTGTTGTGGGGAGGGCTTTTTGTTAGAGCGGTGCTTTCCACCCTTGCCACCCAGCCAGGGTGCCTGCTAAAATGTATTCGGACTAGCCATAGAGCGTCTTATAACTGGAATAGAGCCTCAGAGCCTTGAGAGTGTGGGTGGCAGGACCCTGGTCCCTGCTGATCTGAGGTTTTGGACCAGCTAAAGTACTACCTCTGCACACTGGAGGAGGCTTTGCTGTCACCTCTCTGGCTGTGCCATCTTGGGTTGGTCACTATACCACTCTGACTTCTGTGTCCTCAGTGTGGATGTGCACAGAGCTCCACTCCTGCACAGAAGTAGCTGCTTAGCGCGTGGGAGCCTGCATTGCTTTGTGCCGGGCTCTTCCTGGGTGCATATGTGGGCCACAGGGGCTGTGGGGTGGTGCTTGGTCTGCAGGGTCTGATCTGCTTGTCTGGGCCTGCATGACGCTGCCCATGACAGGACCAGGCTTGCTGGCAGCAACAGGGCCTGAGCCCAGCAGGGTAAGAGCACGCCTGCTTGGCTCACAGAAGAGAGCAGGGCAGAGACTGGACATGGCGTCTGGGCCAGTGATGGCAGGAGACCTGCTTAGTTCTGATGTCAGATGGCTTCGGGGTGGCACTGCTGGGTGTGGGATTCATGGGAGGTGGGTGCTGAAGCCCACACTGTGATCACACATTGTGCCAGCCCCTGGCTCATAGCTAGTGTCAGCTGGCATGGTGCTGAGCGCCCACACTTTTTTACAGTGAAGCAGAGTCTTGGGATGAGAACTTGATATGACCACAGTTGGGTCAGATCTTCGGCGCGTTGAGGGCTCCAGACTGCCCACCTGCAGGGGTTCAGAGCAGGACACAGATGGGCTGGGATGCGTGACAAGTGCGAAGTTTTAAGATAGTTTGAGACATCTGTGTTTTTTTTTTTAAAGAACTGGGGATTGAACTCAGGCCCTTGCGCTTGCCAGGGAAGCGCTTATTCCACTGAGCCATCTCCCCGGCCCTACCTGTGGTGTTTTTGAGAGTGGGTTTAGCAATCATACTGACCTTGAACAAATGTGATCCCCCTGCTTCGTCCTCCTGAGTGTTGAGATTACAGGTTGTGGCACCAGGCCCCTAGCAATTTGAAACTCCAGTAGAGGGGCCGTTGTTTTTCGTGGAGCTGTCTGGAGGATGCAGGGCGGGAAGGCTGGCTCTTCTGCAGGGGTGCAGGGCAGCGTTGGTGATGAACTCAGTGAGATGAGCCCAGTGAGGTGCAGGCTGGCTTCCCGGGGCAGCTGTCGCGAGTGTGGTGTGCCTTTGTGGCCGGCGGTTGGCACCTGGGGCGGTGAGGTGTGGTGTTCCTTGGTTCATGCTGGCCGGGCCTACTTGGTGCCAGCAGCAGGCAGCCTCTGTGGTGCTCAGACACCTTGCGTCGCCGAGGGTGGCCAGCTCTGCTGGGTGGGAAGGGTAGGAGGTGGCCACCAGGTGGAGCACTGTGGGGAAGGCCGCAGTGTGTGTGTGGCTGGGCTGAGAGCTGGGCCTGATCCCCAGGAGCCAGGCCTGGAGTCGGTGGTAGCGGACATGTGCCGTCTTCCTCCCTGGTAAGAGTGGGGAAGACACTTGTGGGTGCTGAAGTCAGGGACTGGAAGCTGTGCCAGGCTTTTTGGGATATTTGTCCAGGGCAGCAGGGCCAAACAGTGCCTTGAAGGGTGAGGGGGGCCTGGGGTCCCAGGGCGAGGAGACGGGCCCCCTCCCTCCTCAGCCAGTGGGCTCTTCTCGTTGGTGGGACAGGTGGGTCGCCAGCTGCGGCACCCCACAGTGGTGTGCAAGGATGGCTGTAAGTGCAGTGAGGACGGAGGGCCCGGCTGGCAACAGGCTGGAATGAGCAGGGCTGTGCAGATGGGCACGCCCCAGAGTTCAGTGTGCACGGAACACCAGGTGGAGGAGTTAAACGCACAGCCCCACATACACCATGTCCCGGATCTGTAGACTGGGGACCCATTTAGAGGTACTGAGGTGGAGTGATGAGACGCTGCCTCAAAACTTCACTAATGTCACTGCTGGGCGGAGTGGTGCATGTCTGTAATCCTAGGTACAGTACTTGGGAGGCTGAGGCAAGATGATCCCAAGTTTGAGCCCAGCCAGGCCAAGTTAGTGAGACCCTGTCCTGAAATAAAATTGAAAAGGGCTTGCTTGTAAAGCATGTATCCAGTAGGCACAAGCCCCTGGGTTAGTCTCCCTTACTGCAAAACAAAACATTTCCTTATTTTTAGTTAAAAAAACAGAACAAAAAACCTTATAGTGCTAAAATACGGGAACATGAAATTTATCACCGGAACCATTTTTAAAGTATCCCTTGTAAGGCCTTAAACACATCCCATTGCCCTGCAGTTGGTTTCACACTGTGGCTCAGGACTTGCTGTCCTCCCATGTGGAGGCTGCTGCCCTGGGGCCCTGTGCCCTAGGCACTTCAGGCACTCAGCCAGGGTTCCTGGGGGAGGAGGGTGCTTCTGGCTGCCTGTCCCCAAGGGCCCTTGCACTCAGTTTGCCAGAGAAGGTGGGCCTAGGGCGGCGCCCATCCACTTGGATGCTTCTGAAAAGGGACAGGATGAGCTGCATGGCACTTCCTTCAGTGGTGTCACCTGCCTGGCCCCAAGCCACTGGAGAGAGCTGAGGAAGCCCCCAGTGGGGGCCACAGTCAGCTGTCCGCCGCACAGTGCACAGCTGGAGGGGGCAAGCAGAGGACTGCAGGGGAGCCTCCAGTGCCACCTGGACGTGCTGCAGAGCAGTGTGGACCTGGGTGGGAAGGGCCCCTCTGGGCACCGGGCACCTTGCCTGACTGGCACTTTGAGCCCTGGCTGTGCTGGTCGCTCACCTGAAGGTTCGTCCTCCAGGTATGCAGGATGGGGTCCCTGACTCTGTTAAGCAGGGCAAGGTGCTCTTGGTAAGCTTGTCTCTGGTGGCCCTTACTTTATGCCAACAAACCTGAGAGAGAAGGGGTCTAGCACAGGCACAGCAGGGTGGAGGAGGGTCAGGGTCAGAGCGTCCTGTTGAGGACCTGGGCTTCGAGGGTCCATGTGGTCATGGGGACCCTTGTAGTGGGTTCAGCCATTTCCTCAGTCAGCCAAGGGCAGGGGGTTGGAGAGGGTACAGCAATGTCAAGGCTCACCCTGTGGAGAGAGGGCAGCTCTAGCGGGGTGGTCACAGCTAAGCCTGGCTTCCCAAGAGGGCCAGAGCCCATGGGCCTGGAAGGTGCAGAGGGCCTGGTGGACCGTGGCAAGGTGTCTATAGGTTTTATAACTGCTTCCTGGTAGAAGATGTCGTCTAGGGGTTGATAGAGGGCTAACTGTAGAATCTGCCAACTGAGAGCATTAGAGACAGGTTCCAGCACAGGCAGAGGCCAGCACAGAGCCTTGGGTAAGCCAGCAGCATCCTCCCTGGCCAGGAAATGGGGCATGTGTTGGCCTCTGAGACCCTGTCGTGGCCTACACAGTGGTCCTCCCAGCCGCAGGCAGAAGCTGATGTTGAGGAGGAAGCCTGCAAGCCGCCAGCTGGCAGTGCTGCCCCCAGAGCCCCTGGTGGGGCGTGCTGTCTGGCACAGAGCAGGTCAGGCCCTGTGGCTGGCTGGTGAGATGTGGCCAGTGTTTCTCTTAGGTTGTGGCTACTGTAGGCAGGAAGGCAGCACCCTCGGTGGCCTGTGCTCTGAGGCATGTGGGCCACCCTCCCTGTAAGAGCTCGCTGCTGCCTACGGGCCACTGACTCCATACAGGGCAGAGTCCGTGACTTAGATGGCTGCCACCAGCCTGTGTCACACAGCATGGTCAGTGTGCCCAGCTCAGGACAGTTCCAGCCTGATGTTCATTATAAACACTTCTGGGATGCTGGTGGGTTTTGAAAGAAAGAGTTGCAGAAGCACAGCCAGCCAGACTGAAAACTGTCCTTTGATTTTTATTTATTTATTTATTTTTTGTGATACCGGGAATTGAACTCAGGACCGTGCGCTTGCCAGGCAAAGCGCTTATTCTACTGAGCTATTTCCCCGGCCCTCAGAGCCTGTCCTTTGTTCTTGTCTTTGCTCACCTCCTGGTCCTCAGGGAGATCTTCTGTTGGACTCGACTGCCCCACACTCTCGCTGTGATAAATCACGCCACCCTCCTGGTCCAGTCCTGTGGGGTGGGGCTGGCTGGGGGAGGAGGCTGGCAAGGGGAGTTTGTTCCTGGAGCAGGGGCTGCTTCCCGCCTCCACGGCCAGCTCTCCAGCAGCAGCGCACTGGACTTCCGGTCAGCGCCCAGGTGCGGAGCCTGGGCGGAAAGCAGCTTGCCCTGCTCCTGAGTGCCTGTGCTGCCAGAACCTGCCCCCGCGGGGCCGGGCGGCACTGAGTGGTGGCTGGGAGAATGAGTGCGCATTTCAGGCAGTTGCTTTCTGAAGTGGCTTTGGCGGTTGACTTTAAGGAAGAGGCCTCTTAGCAGAAGGAAAAGATTGAGGGGGTTCGACGGTTTCCTCCTATCAATAGACCCCATGTTGCTGGGCTCCCTTCTTGCAGGAGCAGGCGTGTGCTCAGCTGTGACAGAGTGGCGGTTAGCTCTGTGGGTGGGAGGTGCTTCGTGCACCTGTCACCTGCAGTCACCACCTAGGAAAGGCACCAGCTAGCTCTCCTAGAGCACCCTCCTGGGACCAGGCCTGAGCCCGTGTTGTGGTCTGCACAGGAGGAGTCAGGCATCCTGGACACAGTCCCTGGGGCACATGCTTGCTGTGACAGAATGGCCAGTGCAGCGGGTGCCAGCCCCCATGGGAAACCAGGAGCACAGTGTGGCTCTTAGGAAGGTTGGCTGCCCCACAGCCGCAGGCAGGTGTGCCCTGCCCAGATCCTTCATCCCTGGGCACAGTCAGGGATGTCCCGACCTCGGAACAGAGTGTCCTGAGGGGGGCACTGCCAGGGCTGATGGAAGTGTGCCCCGTGGACCCTTAGGGTGTGAACAGCTTGTGTAGGAAACCCATCTGACACCTGGCTTTTGTCCCCATAGGAGGACATGGCTGCACATGTGGGTGCCTCGCGGACGCCCCAGGAGGTGATGGAGCACTACGTGAGCATGTACATCCATGGGAACCTAGGCAAGGCCTGCATCCCCGACACCATCCCCAACCGCGTCACTGACCACACGTGCCCCAGCGGCGGCCCCCTCTCGCCCAGCCTCACCACGCCGCTGCCCCCCCTTGACATTTCGGTGGCTGAGCAGCAGCAGCTGGGCTACATGCCCCTGCGGGATGACTACGAGATTGAGTATGACCAGGATGCGGAGACACTCATCAGCGGCCTCTCCGTGAACTACGATGATGATGATGTGGAGATCGAGCTGAAGCGTGCGCACGTGGACATGTACGTGCGCAAGCTCAAGGAGCGGCAGCGGCGTAAGAACATTGCACGCGACTACAACCTGGTGCCCGCCTTCCTGGGCAAGGACAAGAAGGAGAAGGAGAAGGCGCTGAAGCGCAAGATCACCAAGGAGGAGAAGGAGCTGCGGCTGAAGCTCAGGCCGCTGTACCAGTTCATGTCGTGCAAGGAGTTCGACGACCTGTTCGAGAACATGCACAAGGAGAAGATGCTGCGTGCCAAGATCCGCGAACTGCAGCGCTACCGGCGCAACGGCATTACCAAGATGGAGGAGTCGGCTGAGTACGAGGCGGCGCGACACAAGCGCGAGCGACGCAAGGAGAACAAGAGCCTGGCTGGCTCGAGGAGGGGCAAGGAGGACGGCAAGGACGGCGAGTTTGCGGCCATTGAGCACCTGCCCGGCTTCGAGCTCCTGTCAGACCGCGAGAAGGTGCTGTGCAGCTCGCTGAACCTGAGCCCGGCGCGCTACGTGACCGTGAAGACCATCATCATCAAGGACCACCTGCAGAAGCGGCAGGGCATCCCCTCCAAAAGCCGCCTGCCCAGCTACCTGGACAAAGTCCTGAAGAAGCGAATCCTCACGTTCCTTACCGAGAGCGGGTGGATATCGCGGGACGCATCCTGAGGTGGCCAGACAGCTGGGAGCTGGTGGCTTGGGGAGGGGGTGCTCCCCAGTGTTGCTCTTTTTAAAGAAATCGAGTTCCTTTTTAAGGTGTAAAGTCTTCTCGTGGTCCTCGGCCAGCAGCACTAGCGGCGGGCTTACAGTGGATCTCAGGAGACGGATGCCTGGCAGCTCCCTCTGGAGAATGTGACAAGGCTGGACGGTGTCCTTGTGTCCCGTGAGCCTTCTTTCTTTTGGTGCAAAAGCTATTGCTGAGGGTGCCAGGAGTGATGTGCCCTTGCCAGGCCACCAGGCCATTGGCTTTTCCTTGGTGGCACAAGCTCTTCTCAGGTGGGGCTGCTAGCGCCCTTTTCTGAGCCCACTGCTGCCCCGGGCACATGGCACTTTACAGAGAGGCAGGCTGGGCAGGGCCCTCTGCACGCAGCAGGCTTAGCTGCCACGACTCTATAGACACCTGGGAAGCCCTTGTTTGCACACAAATGACACTGCACTCTGGGCGGCCCCCAGGCCCTCCCGTGGGGCCCAGGCTGCCTCCCTTGGAACATCTCGGTCACCACCAGCAGGAGGGTGGGGGCCACTGGCTTCCTGGGTGCCTGCTGCTGATGTCCCTGTAGTGCATTCTACCTGGAAGTCCCCGTGTGAGGGCACACGGCCGAGTCCTGTGTTAGCATCCTCAGGGTTTCCGTCACAGCTATAAGTACCCTTTCCACTGAAAAAGTGTGACTGTGCTAGCCAGGCTAAGTGAATTATTTAGGGTGTGGCCGGGCCCGCTGTGTACAGTGCGCACAGTTGCTGGTGAGGGCAGAGCACCCTGCTGAGTCTCGGTGCGCATGTGCTGCTGCTGGCTCCACGTGGCATCAGAAACGAGCTTGATGCCAGGGCTCTCAGGACCTGCCTGGTACCTTTCTACTAAACCTGCAGAAGTCGCTCGTTTGCCTGCAGCTCAGGGTTCTGCTAGGGCTGGGCTCCAGGGACCCTGGAGTGACCAAACCCTGTCCTTCCCTTCCATGCTTGGCCTGCTCAGCCTCCTTAGGTACAAGAGCCTGTTCTCCTCCAGAACATGTGGGCTTGAAGTTTCAAAAGTTGCATTAAACTGAAGTGAAAGAAAATGAAAAACACCTCATTTCCAAGGACTTGATTATGTGCCTTTTCTTTTTACATCCTGTCCCCTAGGGTGAGTTTTTCAGTGTTAAATAAAACATTTCAGACACACTGCAGATGGCTTTAGCTGTAAAGTGCATGGCAGGCATGTGGCCAGGCCCCATCTCCATGCCAGAGCCAGTGAGCACTGGGCTGCTCGAGGACCAGCTCCACACTGCCCCCTGCAGGCGTGCATGTTCAACCCTGCGGCCGCTGCATGGCTGACAGAAGTGCCATCTGGCCCCAAGTCCTCTGGAGTCGAATCTCCAGGCTTCCAGGGTGCATCCCAGCCACTGCTCTTGGCTGTGTGGGATCCCAGGGCAGAGAGCCACTGGCTTCCCCTTCTTGGGGTCCCTGGGTTGATTTTCTATACCAGAATCCTAGTTTGGGGAGGTTTGGCCTAGTCGCCGTTAGCTTGAGAAGCATAGGCTCTCGCGTGCGGTCTGGGCCGAGCTGTTTGGTGTGTTTCCGCAGGCTGGTAGAGAGTGTGTGTGTGTGTGTATTTTTGATGGTATGAAGAATTTATTTAGGCTTGACTGTTTTAAAACACCACAGTGAATGTATAATTTATGTTGAGATACTGTGACAAGGAAAAAGTAATTCTCGGACGGATGCCTGTCATCCCGCCTGGTTCAGCTTCATCACGTCAGTCCTTACCTCTGCTGTCAGCTCAGAGCCTGAAATGTTTCTATTTAATTCTCACAACGAGTCGGCTACCATAATCCCACGGAACAAGGTCCTTCCCAAATTTAACTCTGAGTTGAAAAAGGCAGTGCTCTCGGGAGGCCAGCATTCCAAGAATGTACTCAAAGCTGTAACTCCAGCTGCGTTTCTATTCTTTTACATATTAAAGAGGTTGAGAACAAAACACTGTCACTGCTTGCTTCTGTCCCCAAAGCCCAGTGTCTCAGAGTGAGCCCATGTCAGGTTGGTGCCGGGACCCTGACACACAGGGATGCCCAAGTCCCTCCTAGAAGCTGCTGTGGTTTGCATAGCCTGTGTATGTCCCCTGGAAACTAACTCCAGGGGAGGGTAAGTGTGAGCACACCCTGGTGTTGGGGGTTAACAAGAGGCCTGTTGGCTCCATACGGTTGTAAGTGGTTTCTCTTGGTTTTGCTCTGCAGCTGGTTGCATGTGCAGGTGGGGGTGACATGCACAGTGGACTGCTTTTGGGTTATGACTGCTTCGCACAGCAACCAGCTGGAAGGGGGAGGAGGGCACAGGCCCACAGAATCCAGTGAGTCACTCAGGTCCCAAGTACAGAAGGGGCACCTCAGGACCAGGCTTCTCCAGTATGCTAGCTGCCACTAGTTCAGCTATTTTGGAGCAAAGAATCACAGCAGCTTAAAGAGCAGTGATTGGAAGCAGCAAAAATGGAAGATTTTGGACTATTCCTTTTTTTTTTTTGGTTCGGAATCAGGGATTGAACTCCGGCCCGTGTGCTTGCCAGGGAAGCGCTTATTCCACTGAGCCATCTCCCTGACCCCAAAAATGGCAGGTTTTTTTTTTTTTTTTTTTTTTTTGCTCCGAATGCCTTCAAGGCATGACTGGCTGGCTTGAGTTGTGGGGATCGAACCACAGCAACCTGAGCCTGACTGCTTTGTTGAAGCAGCCACTTAAAGAACTGAGCTAAGGGGCAGGCCCCCCAAAATGGAAGATTTTAACTACGGCACTATTACTTCATCTTTCAAGTTGCTAGTGCACTCTGTGGGCTCTGCCCCACCCCAGGCAGTCCTGCCCTTCTCACCTAGTACTGGCAGTGGGCGCTTCTCTCCCTGTGACAGATGCCCACCTGCTCGCTCACCCTCTCCCTAGATCCTCAACGTTCACGTAATGAGGCTAGGCCTCGCGGCCTGGCGCCAGAAAGTCTGGCCCATCAAAGACAGGGCGCTCTGGCCTTGGCTCCACCTGAAGAGAATGTGCCAGGCAGCTCAGGGCCCGATGGGACACAGAGGAGCTGTCCCGCTGGCCTTGGGCTCAAGGTCTCCATCAAAGGACTAAGTTGTTAGCAAAGAGTAGAAAAAAACAGGCTTTTAATCCTTTCAAAAATTTAAAATTAAGCATGGACACAAAGTGTCCCACGCATGCAGTCGTGTTTTGACAAGGCCCACCTTAGCGGGGACACATCCCGAGGCGGTCAGAATGGGGGAGGGACTGATGGTTCACACACTTGTCTCCAGAGGAGCCCAAGGCTACACCCAAACCCGAGCAGAACCGTGTGCTCTGATGCATCAGGGCTTATGTCTTTAGCACAAGAAGAGGGTCCTTGCCTCACCGTGGACCCGCAGGTGGGTGGGGTGGCCAGAGACTCGGGGCGTGGCGAGGCAGCCAACACAATTCCCAGAGACCTTTTATTTGTTTAAAATACTTTATGATCACCAGAGTTTAGATACAGTGCTGTTTGGGACACTGAAGCCCCCACACCCTTGGCCTTCTTTAAGTGTGCAGATGAGTGACCGGTGGCACAGGACAGCAGTGAGCAGACACCAAATCAGTTCTTGAGTCCGTGTGGGTGCTGTCCTTCCCTGGCTCAGCCACCCTTTTTCCTGCTTCTGACCAGTCTGGGCGTGATACAGGTCACAGGCACACCCGCAGGGAGAAAGGTAGCCCTGCCTTTCAGGAGTCACAGTGAGGGACGCCAGGGCGCAGCTAGGCTTCCTTCGCCACCCCCACCAGCGCGGGCCGCAGTGTGCGCCCGTGCAGCTTGTAGCCCACCTTGCTGACCAGCGCCACGGTGCCCGGCTCCTTCCCCTCCACAGGCGCATGGAACAAGGCCTCGTGTTCGTAGGGGTCAAACTTGGCTCCAACAGGGTCCAGCCTGAGCAGGCCATGCTTGGTGAACACCTTCTGCATCTGCACCTCGGTCATCACCAGCCCCTCGTACAGGCTCTTCAGGTGAGGGTTCTCGTCTCTGATCTCTTCTTTTGGGACACTCTGGGTGGCCTTTTCCAGAATGTCGGCCACCTCCAGCAAGTCCTTGCAGAAGCCCTGGATGCCTAGTGAGGGAGATGGGAAGATGGTTGGCACTGGGGATCAGCCTTTGCGCAGGCCACTAGGGCTGTGCCCGCAGGCTTGCGTTCTCAGGGACACCTTGCAAATCATCTGCTTGCCTGTAAGTTGCAGTGCCCCACAGTTCAAACTCCAGAAGCCTTGCGGGATGAGAGGGGCGCCGCTTATGTGACTAAGAAAGGGAGCAGGGAGGCAGGGAAGTGAGCCTCAATGCCTGGAGATCTGGCCACAGGGGACTAGACGTTGAACAACCACTGAGGCACAGGCAGTCACTGAGCAAAGGGCAAGCAGCCTGCTCTGCTGTGACCTGAAGAGCCAGAGAGGGAGGGAAGACACCAGGGAGCAATGGCGGTGACACCAGGCATGTGATTTGCAGTAGTGTGCTGAGACCCCCTCTGTCCTCAGGCAAACCAGTAACCTCCCCTCCTGAGCCTGGGTCTCTCATCTGTCATACAGCGAGTGACACTTCCCATTTATGTGCAGGTGGCAGCAGTCACCGAGGTGGCCTGACAACCACCAGAGGCAGAGCATGTGTGTGTGCACACGCACCCTTGCGCAGAACTGGCCAAAACAGTGCTGCTAGTACCAAGCGGCTGCAGGGCAAATCAAGAAGCCTAGGGACCTCAGCCACAGGACGGGCAGGGAGGGCCAGGCGGCCTGGGGACAGCACAGCAGGCCTTCTGACAGCTTCCACTACTCTGTGAGGAAACAGAAGCTGCCCGTCACGGCTGCAGGGAGAACAGGAGCCCCACAGGGATGACTGTACAAGCGCGCCTCACCATCGGGCCGCGCTTTCTGGGCTCTGAGGGGTGCAGCAGTGTCTATGGCACTCTGCTCCTCCAGACACCCTCCCTCCAGCTTGTCCCCACCTGGGGGGCGCCCTGTCCCTGCCGCAGCCTTCCCTGCGCCCGTCTCCAGCTGCTTCCTAGGCTCCCCGCCATGGCGTTCACCATTACCATACAACTTCGCCTCCTCTATCAGCTTCTGGCTTCTCTGCCTCAAGTTCTCGGTGTCTGCCAGAGCTCGTTTATATTTTTCCTAAAAAAGGAAAAAGAAATTTACCTGAATTACTGAACACAAAACAAATCCATAGAAAAGGCATCCTGATTTAAAAATTATACCACAAACTCCAAGTTAAAATACAAATAAAACCTGTTACTGTTTTTGAGATTAAAGACGACACCGGAAGCTGAACGCTGCTACACCTGTGTCTGCGCTCCCAGCAAGCGGGAGCGCAGCGCGGCTCCCTCTCTTCCCCGTACAGAGGGACAAGGACAGGAAGGAGATTCTTACCGTGGCCCCAACTCCCACTCTCAGTCCCCTCCGGGAAGGCGCTTGCCTGTGCAGAGGGGAGGAGGAGCTCTGCTGGGAACCTGCAGCCGGCGGTGGCGGCCGCAGCAGCCACGCACTCACAGCAGCTGCTTTCTAAACTAAAACCTCAGTGTTCAGGTCTGCGTGGAGTGCGGCCCCTCTGCAATGAGTAAGTGGGCTCTGGGTTGCAGTCTGTCACTTGGTCTCACAAAGGTTCACCATGACTGCCTTGGCCAGTTAGGAAGTAACCCAAGGAGTCCTGAGCAGGCTTGGGGCCACTGCGCCCTCCCCGCCTGGGCGCTCATTCGCGCACCTCTACCTCAGGCAGCCGGCCGGCAGCATTTACTGAGTGAGCCCCGCCTGGCGCCAGTCTTCAGGCACCCCCAGCAGTGACCGAGAGGCTCCCGCAGGCTGCCTGCTGCCAACCCTGGCTCTACACCCCGGGCTCTAGCGCCCGTCCCTTTCTGTGCCTCAGCTTCCTCATCTGTGAACAGGCCTGGGGGACGCTTACTCACAGGACTGCAGGGAGGGTTAATGCCGAGAGCTCAGCGCAGACCCAGAGCGAAAGCCGAAAGTGCTCAAGAGGTTCGACCTGGGCCACCTCTGTGCTTTCCCAAGCAGTAACCTCCATACTCAAGACCTGCACCTACAGCCTTTGGTTCCCTTCCCAGTTGCCGCTTACACACCGAGCCAAGCACTCCACACGGTGAAGGCCACCTAAGTCCTAACGGTCACTACAGCCACCCCTCTTGCAGGGACAGAGCCATGCTGGACTAGCCTATGGCCTCTGCCACCTTGGGCAGTGGACAGTGGCTGAGGCTGCTGGCTGTGGACTCTCACCAAGGAAACCTGGCATGGTCACGTGGCCCAGGGCCTTACCACAGTCTCCTTGAGCTGCTCCTCCAACCGGCCCTTCTCTTCCAGTAGGACCTTATCTGTGGCGGGAGGCTCCGGCTTCGGCTCGCTGGCCCGTGTGTCGTCCTCCAGGCCCTGGCCATTGCTCTTCTGTTTTGCAGCAGTACACAGCAGCCTTGGAGAGGGCCTGGAGCAAAGCGATGCACTACGTTCAGCACAGGCACAGGCCTTGTGCTTGTTACCACCAGATGCATGACTTCAGAGATATGGGACAATTCTAAGTGAGCTGCCACTGACTTTGGGAGAAAAGATTTATCTCTGGTCTAATAAAAGCAGTAGATTACAACAACGGTAGATTGTGATGGGGGGAAGCAGATGCTACAGAACGATGTCCCGGTCTCTACCATATACGGTAACACAGGGACAGTGGCCGTGCTGCAGGGCCACCACCCAGGTCTGCCTGAGCACCTTACACCATTCGCACAGGGCAGAGTAGTTCTCAGAACATACCCGTCTGGTGACATGAGACTATTTATGGAAGCCTTCAGCAGCGGACACCCCAGCTCACACGTGGATCCAGTGGTCTCTTGTGGGGGGCCAGGCTTTGCCCCGAATCGAGCAGCTACCTACTCTCAGGCCCAGGCTGATTCTGCTTATACACATGGACTGGGCAGAGACCAAGCCCACAGCATGGTGCGGGGAGGTGCGACTCATGTCTACAGAGTAAGTGACTCGGGGCACGCGGCTCTCAGGCCGGGCTGCGGTACTACAGTGGGGGCGGAGCACCGCTGGATGTAGGGAGACAGACGGGGGGTTACAGGGAGGTCCAAAGCAAACCCCGCAAGCGACTTCCGGCTTCTGCAAGCTGAACTCCACAGGCCAAGATTCAGTGATGATGGAAGCCACACAAATCATTAGTGACAGAGCCTTGAAGCCCTGACGTCTTCCCCGGACAGTGGGGGCGCTTTGTAATTATGCTGTAGCCCAATCCGTGAACTGCTGAGGCAGAATCAAATATGGTGAATGTGTCAAATTACAGTAAAAGACACTGCCGTTAACTGCCCTCAGGATCTTCCCCCCTTTTTCAACACACTAGTTGCACCCTTGTTGTCACATTCTGCAGCTGTTTACAGTAATTTTTTGTCAAGTAAAAACATGATATTGTGTCCTCATCCACCTGACTCACTGGACCTGACACTGTGACTTCTGGCTTTTGCCCAATGTCAAAAGGACCATGAATCCATTCAGGGCACTCAAGCAGCCACAACGCAAGTAAAGACGCAGACGAGGACTGCCACAGCAGCTGCAGAAGGTGGCAAGGAGGATGGGGTGCGTATGCCCACGCGCCAAGCCAGGGCGCGAGCGGCCAGCAGGCTCCTGCCTGGAATGCGGGCACCCGGGGGAGGGGCTGAGGCAGGAGGAGTACTTGAGCTTGAGGCCAGCCTGGGCTACTTGGCAAGCTCAAGGTGAGCCTGGACTGCACTGCAAAACTATCTAAAAAGACACAAAAACCGAACAAAACAGCACAAGGAGGGGGATTCATGGTAATGTGTCTTAAACTGTTATCTTTCAAAATTCAAATACTCTATTTTTTGAACAGTTATGCTGTCATTTAATGACAATACATCCTGAGCAAAATATTTATGTCAGGCAAACATCAGAGTGTACTCACATAAATAAAAACTAAGGTGTCACAAGGGAATCCAAGGGGACCACCAGCTACATGTGGTCTGTTCTACAGCACGTGACAACACAAAACATAATCTGCTTTTATACAAATTAGGAACGCTCACGTTTCTTAGGTCTGCAGAAGGGAGTGAAAAGATCTAGTATTAGCTGTTCCCAAGTGGGTGAAATGACCTTTTGATTATATTTTTAATTCTAGTTTTTAGAAATCTAAAAAGGAATCTGAAAAGATATTGAGAGTACTGGGGTTTTTGTAGTTTTAAAACAGGGATCTTAAGGGCCGGCCAGGTAGCTCAGCGGATTGAAGTGCCTGCTTAGGCAGAGTGCAGCAGCTGGGGTTTGTGCCAGCCCCTGCCCCCAGGGTGCACTGAGACAGGATTGAGATTGCGCGTGGTGGCACACACCTATAACCCCTGAGCTTGGGAGGCTGAAAACAGGAGGATCACTGACTCCAATTGTGTAGTAAGAACTTGTACTAAATACATTAAAAAACAACAACAAACCAGGGATCTCTAAGTTGCAGAGACAGCTCAGTGGTCTAAGTGCCTGCCTAGGCAAGGCAAGGACCTGGGCTGACCTCCCCATACCACATGCTGTGCCCTGAACTTGCTACCAAGACTGGGTGTGGTGGCACATGCCCTTCATCCCAGAGCTGGGGAGGCTGAGTCAGGAGGTTCACTAGGAGTTTGAGCTGCTTAGTGAGACCCTGTACCAAATACATAAAACCAAACCAAACCAAACAACAACGAAACTAAGCAGGGTTCTCACTACATGGATTAGGCTATCCTTGATTGTGGCAATCCTCCTGCCGTGGGTTTCCCAAGCATTGGGATTACAGGTGTGTGCCACCATGTCCAACTTTGAGAGGACCGTTTAATCTGGCCTTCTCTATGAGCTGCTCCCATCCCTGGACGTGACAGTCACAGACACACGACTCCCTGCAATTCAGCTCTGCTCCGCACACTCTTTCCTGATGTGTGGCCAACAGAGGGTCTACTAGCGGAACCCGGTGGGGCTGGGAATGAACCAGGGCCGGGAGTCAGGGCTGGCCTGTGTCGCACAGGGAAACTGAATCCCTGCGTTTTTCCTCAAGTAGCCCCGGAACGTTGCTCTTTTGCCCTGCTTGCCCCGCTTGAATCTATGACGCTAACGCTCCCCTCGTACCTACCATCACCTTGACCGGAAGGGCTCCTCACTTCACATGCCTGCTTGCACCAGGTAAGTAAGCTCTCACCACGTCCTTTCTACCCACGGTTTGCCGCAGCAGTTTCTCCTGATTTCATTAATAACTTGCTTCTAACCAATTCCCCAACGAACTAGTTAAGAGCACTATACTAACTTTGGAGGCAGGACTTTTAAAAACCAGAAGCCACAAGTTAAAACAGTGAGGGGGCTGGCTCTGAGACCCTCGGGGTGGGGTCGCCATTGGTCTACATAAGCTTCCTGTGCCCGCCGCGGAGCAGGCTCTGCTCCCCTTCTGCCACCCAGGGCAGGAAATGCCACGCACAATGGAAAACTGGGCAACAGATGCCTCGGGCACGCGGAATTTTCCCGAGCCAGTCCCGATTAATAAAACCAGTTTTCCGTCCAGGCCACACCCGGTGGGTTCTGCCTCGGTGCGCCACCCGCAAAGTCCCGGCGTCTCTGGTTGGCTGTTTTCTTCGACTGGAGACGCGGAGGCCATCTGTGTCCGGGCACTAGTGCGGCTCACGGACGCGCGCGCGGTGTCGCCGCAGCAGCGGGCTGCACGCACCGCGGGTTGCAGGACCTTCGGCCACAAACACGCTCGCGGCCCTCGTTGCTCGCGTTTCCGGTCCAGGCGGCTGGCTCGCGCGTTCCCGTGCCCCCGGCGCACACAACACGGCTGCAGAGCAGGGCGGCCGCGGGCCGGGGCGCCCGAGGCCTCGAGCTGGTCCTCAATCGGGACAGGAGCCCCGGGCCGGGCCGCCCAGCTCTGGGAAACACAGCGTCCCACGGACCTGGCTGCCGCCTCCGGGACCGCGGCCGGGAAAGGTCGCAGCAGGAGAGGCCGTGCTGAGGGGCCGCTGCTGCCTGCTCATCCTGGGGAATCCTAGAGCTCCTTACCTGAGACACAACGACAAAGCGGGGAGACTTCGCCGCGCCAGCCTTACACAGCGAGCCGCCATCACTACCGTCGCCGCCGTCGTCATTGCGCACGCACTGGGCTTGCGTGGGGCGCTGCGCCGATTTCCCCGCCCAACGGCTTCCACTTAGCCAATCCACGACTGCCTTTGCAATGATCGGCAGACGCTAGTCACCAATAATTGTGAGTCTGGTGAAGAAAGTGTCTGCTCCCCCCGTGGGCGGGGCCTGAAGCTTCCGGCAGCCCCAGAAGGTGGGGAGGTGAAAGGTCAAGGGATAGAGGGCGGAGCCTCTCGTGGGCGGGGCGAGGTCCGGCGCGAGCCAATGGGTAGGGCGGGGGCGGGGGCGGGGCGCACGTGGCGGGCCGCGGGGCGTCGCAGCTGCGTTCCCGGCGGGGGAGCGCGTCCTCGCGGGCGGGCCTGGCTGCGTTGGGACCTCCGGGTCCTGGGTCTGGAAATGTAGGCAAGGGATCGTCGGACTGTGGGGAAAATCAGCGGACGCGGCAGCCCCAGTGTCTGGAAATTAGGGCCACAAGAGGCCGGGAGAGCCCCTCTCCTGTTGCCACGGTCCTGGTGAGGAGGAGGGCGCGGGAGGGCCGCGGTCTGCTCTCCCTTGAACGGAAGCAACACCTGCGGGGCGAGAGGGACCCGGTGCCAACGGGTTTGATGTCGCATGATGGGAGTGCGGGTGTCCGTCTGTAACACTCACCTTCCGTTTTATCACAGTAAGACACAAAATGTACAGCAGAAATAATGTGCTGTTTAGGGAGAGTGTTAGACCCCATGGACGCTCCTCAGGAGAAGTGCGTGTTAATCCGTACTTTTTTTTTTTTTTTTTAGACAAGGTCTCACTATGCAGTTCAGCCTCGCCTTGAAGTCACTTTGTATCCCAGGCTATCCTGGAACTCTCCTCGGCTTAATTTGTATATTTTATCCCAGAAAATTTCAGACGTGCTCAGAAGAAGGGAAAATGGTCCTGACCCCCATGATATTAAGTAGTTTTGGGTGAGGTCTTCGCACTCTGTTACAACCCACCAGGAGTGCTGCTGCCTCTCTGCGTTCCAATTCTGGGGTCGGAACTTCCTTTGCTTTGCTCCCGTTAAAACCAGTTGTGCGCTGGGGATGGTGGCGCACACCCGACCTATAATACCAGCGCTGGGGAAGCCGAGGCAAGAGGGTCGAGCTGACCTAGAGGCCAGCCGGGCCTACAGAGCAAGACTGCCATCCCCTCCCCGCAAAACCCCATCTGTTTACCTGGTGCTGCTGTTGGCCGGGTACTGTGCCACCTCCAGAATGCGGGGTGTTGTGCTGGACAGATGACCTAGTTTATTAATTAGGACTCTGAGAGAGGGGAAAAAAGGCAGTGAGGCTGTTAGAGAAGAAATGAACTCAAAAGACAATTGAATGAATGTGTGGGACCAATGTGGATGGAATGAAGGTGTGGAACGTCTGTGGATTGTGGAAGGAAGCTGACTGAATAAAAGCTGGGGGATTGGGATATGGACTTGGGATGTGGACTAGGTGATAGCCAACGCTTTTGGTACTTTTGTTACCGGGTGACAGTACCCAGGTGGTCATGTAAAATGCCCTGACTGTCAGACACGCAAGCAAAAGTACTGGTGGTAAGTCTCCAGGGTCAGGATTTTGTGTTAAGAGTATTCCACTAAACCTGAGGGCAGAGCAGGACTCGAGGTGTTTGGAGCTTGGTGAGTGCTTTGGGGCTGGAGGCCTCTTTGGAGAGGCTGGACGTTTCCGGAGTAACCTTTTGTTTCTCACTGTGTGTGATCAGGTTACCTAATTTTTCTCATCAGTCGGCTCACCAGTACAACCGGGCCCTTTGCTCTTGGGTGTAGAAGAATGGAAGTGATCACTCCTTTCTCTTTGGGACTTGAAGGGAATCACACAGGCACACTGAGTGCTGACCCCCATGGTAGAGGTGCAGCTCCTGCGTCCAGGGACAGGCAGGACCTTGTCTTGGGGACCCTGAACCACGGCTCAGTCCAGGCCGTCCACCTCCAAAGCCATGGCATCCCCTGCTTTGAGGCCTGCCAGTGCTGCCGCCTCATGGGCATACGGAGAACTGCTCCAGCTGGGCTCCTTGGGCGCCCCGAGGGGTGGCCCGGTGGAGCTGAGGCTGCAGGTGTGCGAAGCCTCCTGGATTTGCTCCCTGAGCTCTCGTCCAGCCAGCTGGGGGACAGACACGGGAAGAGCCAGCTAAACAGCATGTGGAGTCCAGCGAGGACTGGGTGGTATTCCACAGGAAAAATGTTCCTCAGATTGTACAGATGGCTCGATAGCACATTGACTGTGGGCATGATGCTTATGACAGCTGAACGTGGCCTGTGCCAGGCTCTGGGCTGGGTGCTCCAGAGATGTCCTCTTGTGGATCAGCCCAAGGATTCCGAGAGGCAGGGTTTGCACTAGGTCATGCTGGCTGAAAGGGCAGTGTGTGCAGGCTTGGAACCAGATCCTGCGTCTGTCTTCTTCACTGTCTGCTGCTTCCCCCAGGGGCTGCACTGGGCTTCCTTGGCAGTGGTGGCTTCTCTTCCTTTCCTTGAACTTGGAAGAAGGCAAGTTCGGAGAGATAGGTGTGATGTAAGAGGGGTGAGGCCACCAGCTCTAAAGGAACCCCAAGGTCTCCCCACACTCTTAGATCTAACCTAGCGCTCTCTGTGCAGGAATTGGTACTGGAAATTAAAGTCCTGGCAAGGTGACCTTGAGACAGCAGGTATCTGATCAGTTTGACTTTTTGAGCCCTTTCAAAGCAGCAAGTTTTCTCCCTTGGCCGCAAAGGTGAAGGCTGATTCAAAGTCCAATTTGCCATTGCTGGATTGAAGATGGAAACCCTGGGAGGGATTCTGGGAGCAGAGAGCGGTGCCCACCCGACATCCAGCCAGGACATGGGGCCTTAGAACTGTGAGGAACTGGGGAACTGCCAACCGCCTGGTGAACTGGAAGCAGATCCTGCCCCAGATTAAGCTAGCCCAGCCACTGTCGTAGTTTTGACTTTGTGTGGTCCAGGGTGGGAGCCTGGTTTCATTAAATTGGGCCACTCTGGTGGTCAGGGTGAGGTGTCAGCTTGGCCCGCCTTGGGGCTCCACAGAGGGAACTGGTGCAGCGCACTCTGGGCTGTGTCTGGGTTGGTGTGGCCTTTGGGACTATACCTAGGCTCTGGTTCCTTCCTCTCAGGCGGTTTTCCTGCTCTGCTTTGAGGTTACCATGAACTGAACAGCTTTGCTCCACCACTCCCTTCTGCTGTGATGTTCCTGGCTTGAAGCCAGCTGACCTTGACTGAATCCCTGGAGACCTCGAGCCAAGTAAACCTTAGAGTTGTGGGTTTTGGGTGTTGAATGTCGCTGGGGGAAAGCTGACCGACATGGTCGCTGCACAACCCTTGTGGTAGGCCTTCCTCTTCTCCCTACTCTGCTGAATCCACTGGACTCTGGTGTGCATAATGGACTCGCCACACATCCCAACCCAGCATCCCCAGGAAGCTGAGGTCCTGGGCCCCGGGCACTTATGTGTGGAGAGGAAGCTGACAGCCTGGCCCTCCACCCCAAGGCCATGGTCTTCAAACAGAAGAGGAGCTCCTGAGTAGCAGATACCACCAGAAAGGGCTGTAGGCATCCCAGTAGAAATGACTTGGTGCAACAAGAGGCAGATTTCACCGGAGGAGGCTAAACTGGGATAATCGTTCGCAAGGAGAATGAGCAAAAGCAAAATTAATTACCAGCCATTTCTCTGGGAACAGTTCTGTGACAAATGAAGCTGTGTGGTCCTAGCCTCTCAGTGTGACTCAGGTGCCCTGATGTGGCCAGGGCAGCCAGAGAAGTGGGTGTGGAAGTGACCTCGATGGGCTAGAAGGACAAGGAAGTGGACAGGAAGCCGTGAAGCTCTTGGACTTCCAGGAAACCTGCCTTCTGTGCTTGTGTGCATGCTTCTCAGATGGGCTGTATCTGTATAGCTCAGACCAGCCTTGAGCCTTCTCTGTAGCCCTCAGATGAGCCACAGATTCTCAATCTTCCTGCCTTAGCCTCCCCAGTGCTGGGATTATGGGCAGGTGCCACTGTGTCTAGCTTAAATTTACTTCAATAGCCTGCACATGGCAAAAAAAAAAAAAAAGAGTTTTAACCCTGTAAAACCATGCTCCAGGGGCAGAGTCCCTCTGTGCCCAGCTCCAAGTCCACTTATTCTCTGCTGGGGCCACCTGCAGAGAGCTGGCACTTGGACAGCCACATGCAGTGTGAGTTCAGCAGCCACGTGTCTCACTGCCCTTGCGATCCTCCCCTGCGTCTCCTTCCCCTTCATGTGGCTAACACCCGTCTGCCCCGGAGGACTCGGGCTGTGCATGCAGGTCGGGCTTTCGGGTGTCATGGCGGCCTTTCACCTCCATGGAATCCTAGCTAATCTGACCCCATATGTGGACATTTAAACACTTCCGATTCTTTGGTATAATATATATTTATTTATTTCATGTGAGACGGGATTGTTGTAATCACTTCCAGCAATCCAGAATACATAAAACAAGGAAGGAAAGGGTGCCAGTCATCATGAGATTGCCTCATCCTGACCCTTGCCTCACACTGTGCTCAGAAGATCCCTTCTGTGTGGACGCAGACCGAAGTGTGGAAGGCAGAAAGGCAGAGCTTCATGGGAAGGTGGGGAGGGTGTGTCTGACCTGGGAGCAAACAAAGCTCCCCTTTGCCTGTGCTAATGCCCGAACAGTGCTAGCCATAAGGAAAGGCTGTGGGAAGGTGGATTGTACTGGAAAAAAGAAAGACTGCTCATTGAAGACCTCAGGAAAAGAAAGTGAAAGAAATCTTCTCCAGTCACCTTGACTTTGGGAAGGAGCTAGAAGTCCCACGTTAGCAGACCCGGTGAACGAAGTGCACGAGGACATGAGGTCAGGCTTGCTCAGCCTGCCTCTCCATTGGGTGCCACCTAGCAGCAGCGTCACCTTCGTTTTGATCACACCTCATAAAGGTATCCACAGAAGAGGACTCCAGAACTGTTGGAGAAAGTGGCAGGGATGATGCGATGAGTGTGTTTGAAGTGGAGGTTAATTATAGTGTGTCTTTTACTGTGATAAA